TTTTTTCCCAGACTATTATTTCATGTCTGGCTTTACAGGGTTAATATACAGGTACCCCAAATGATAATTCTAGCTCTAGATTAAAGACATCAAATACAGTAATTCTCTCTGAAGCACTATGCTTTAAATAGACCTATATGCATTTTCACAAGCCTCTGAGCCAAATGTTCTTCAGCACCAAGCCCTTCTGTCTGTGTCTATTGCTGCAATATTCTGTTGGATTCATGAACTGCAATACTAGTAATACTAGTAGTGACCAGCAGGTGGCAGCAATGACCTCTCATGGTGCCAGAGAGGCCACACCCCACACAATGAGGTCAGACATCCCTGTTACAACTAGTTGAACTGTGTAATAACTTAAAACAGATAGGCCTACCTGAGATGAAATGTAATGTAAATTAGAGAAACGTACCGCGTCCCACTTAGCATTCATCTTCTCTTTCTCGAACTTGGCGAACTCTCTGCGGTCATGAATAATCATGAGCAGCTTCCAGATGAGCAGAAGTGCTAAACCAATCAGAACGATTCCTGCGACCACACCCGCTACGATGGGGATGATGTCAGGGCCAGAGGGACACTCTGTGAACACAGGCACAAAGCATTATGAGAAACAAGAGAAATAAAGTGTTAACAAAAAAAATTATTATTATTATTATTTTTTTCCATCCTCCACTTACCAAGTTCCTCCGCCACATGGACCTCAACGGTGCTGTCGTTCTTGGTAGCGTAGGTGAAGAAGAACCAACAGTCATTTGCATCACGTTCTTTGCAATGATTGATGAAGGGCTGGTCGTTGGGCTGAGGAAGTTCCTCCTTCTTCTTCTTCATTACAAGAAAGAAGTAGCCACATTGTTCCACACACGTGTCTTTCTTGTCACCAGTACCAAATGCTCGGCACTGGACGCAATCCCTGTAAGGAAAGACACAGGCGAATATATTTAGCGCCACTAGCGGAGCGTAACAAGCCAGCTGTTCAAGCAAATGTCCTGTTAATAACTCACTTGTGTTCAGTACAAACTCCAGGGCAGGTTGGGCAGATTTCACAAGTTGGACCCTGAAACTTTGTGTCGGTACATTTACACACTCCGCACTCGCAGGCGCCCCGACCGTTACAGATCTGTTTGTTACTGGCCAGACAGGTGGAGGTGTCCAGAGAGCAGTCGCACGCACTGCCTGTGTAGTTAGTGTCACAGGTACACTTTCGGCATTCACAACGACCATGACCTGGAAAGTATAGAAAGTTTGTAACTTCTCATCAGTTTAATCATGTACTGTTTCTCCACATATGTGAAGAGCAGATTGGAAAAGTGTTATTTCAGTGTCAGTATCAGCACTTTCGTACCTCCGCAGAGCTTGTTGTTGGAGCGGTCGCAGTTGAAGTTGTCACACTCGCAGAACTTTCCACTGTATCTCTCCTCTGGGTTGTCTCTTTTTTTGCACTCACATGTTCCACAAACGCAGTCCCCATTGTTGCTGCAGATGTCCGTCCCGTTATCCATGCGGCAGTTCGCGTCCAGATCTTCTGTTCTGACCTCGTCTTTACTACATTCACAAACTCTGCCAATACGTCCCTCATTGCACCTGAAAATAAGCAGACACAGATAACATTACTGCCAGTTGAAGGTCTTGATTTGGTCTTGTATACAACGTTTGAATAATACTAACTAACCTGCATGCTCCACACTCCAGGGTACCGTTACCAAAGTGACACACTGGACTGTTCGCGATTCCGCCTTTATGACACTCACATTCGCAGATGAAGTTGAGGACTATCTCCACCTCCTCGGTGAAGCCCAGTGGCTTGATTTTTATAGTTTCTGATTTGCCATTAGATGGACAGCCTTTAGCCGTGATCGCTACTTCAAACGTCACCTGTGAAAAGAATCAATAGCCTTGATTTGATTTGCAGTCTTTATAGTTTTTAATCATGTTGCTACATAATTTTTTTTAGGAAACTGTATCCAGTGGAAAGTACTGAATATTTAATGAAACTGTCATAGATACTCCATAAGGGTTTTGACTGGAGGATATTATTCTCACCTGATCCCCAATGGAGATGTTGGAGCACTTTCGTCCATTTTCTCCTTTTTCGCTCACTCCATTCTTGCAGTGGGAGATGTAGGAGATGGAAACCCCTTCGGGGAGTCTACTGTTCTCCAGAATGATCTCAGAGGACAGAGACTGAGAAAGAGATTTAGGAAAGGATTATTTAAGAGTCTTTTAAAAACTGATGAAAGATTTAGGGTCAGCAAGATTTTTTTTGAAAAAGAATGTATACTTTTGTTCAGCATGGACGCTTTAAATTGATTAAAAGTGACAGTAAAGACATTTATAATGTTTATAATGTCAAATGAATACTGTTCTTTTGAATTTTCCATTCATCAAAGATTCCTGAAAAAATATATCATGATTTCCACAAAAATATTAAGCAGCGCAACTGTTTTCAACTGTTTATTGATAATATCACAGCAATAAATCACATTTTAAAATATAATAAATAGAAAACAGTTATTTTAAATAGTTAAAATTTTAACTTTTTAAAATTGGAATTCAATATTTTAAATTATCTTGAACAATTATTACTGTTTTTACCCCAAACTGCATTGTCATATTTCCACATATTTTATTCAGCAGGAACTTGTCAAGAACAAAGGAAGAAACAAAAAAATATTAAAATCCAACTAAAAGAATTTCACTAAATTGACTTTTAGCCTCTCCTCTCCATAATTATGTTAAGTCTCTTTTCATGTCCTAGAAATGCCTCCCTCTATCTTTGATAGGAAGGGTGAATGCAGTGCTTAATTTATAAATCAATAATTGCCGGATCCAAAACAGCAATTAAAAGGCGCTG